GGTCACCGCCGGCTGTGGGGAGGACACACTTCCGGTGATGTCAGGGGGTGTGGTATATGCTAATGAGTTATGCTAATGAGTCCCCCTAGCTCTTTTTCTACGAAATGACCCCTGAGGATAACTATGGCCCAGTTGCATGGTGCCAGCCACCAGGCAAGGCCTAGTTCTAAGGTGAGGAACCTGCAAGGACTTGCAGGGGCCACCTCATTTCCCCATGTATCTCCCTCCCCACCAGGGCTTTTTGTTTGTTTGTTTTGAGAAAGAGGTGCCAGAACTCTCAAGAGGGAAATGAAGGTTTCAATGTGCATACTGAAAAGTCATGAACTTTTAAACATTTTAAAAAGGATTTTGTCATAGAGGTTCCAGAACTCCATTCCAGTGTGTTCTCCCAGAAAAAAAGCTCTGCTCCCAACAATATTTCCTCTCTCCATCCTCTAGGCAACTTTCCCTGCTTTGTTCTCTCCTTTCCACCCACCCATCAACTGAACTTTTATCTCCCCCCCCCATCTTCAGCTATATTTATTATTTCTTTACTTCATTCCTACCCCACTTTTCTCCACAGTAGAGACCCAAAGCAGCTTACATCATTCTCTCCTCCTTTTTCTTTTCACAACAACTCTGTGAGGTAAATTAATATGAGAATGTCTTACTGGCCGATGGTCACCCAGTAAGCTTCTATGGCAGAGTGATGATTCAAACCTGGGTCTCCCAAATCATAGTCTGAAACTCTAATGACCATACCACATGGGAGGGGGGCTGCTGCTGTTGAGCAGTAGCAAACAGGTGGACCCTGGTGAGTCATGCAAGTCATGTGGTAGTAAGTCGCTCAGTGGTTGCTGCCAGGCCTGGCTATGATTCCTCTTCCCAGAGGGAATTGGCCATTATGAAGACTAGGACACCTCCTGGGGGCTGATGGCCTCACTCCTGGGCCAGTCCTGTGTCAGAAGGACTGACTCTGGCCCATCCATGTGCCACATGATGTGCTTGAGGTGGAGCCCAAGCTTCACACGAGGAGAGGGAGGTGGTACCTGGCCCACCTAAGCTGTACTTGAGGCAAGGGGGCACCCACTCCACCCAAGGCCTACACAAGGCAAGGGAGGCAGTGCTGTCTGCACAATGTGAAGGAGGTGCCTGTCCAGCACAAGTCCCATGCAAGGGGAGAGGTGATTGGCTAGCCCAAGCCCAGTGCAAATGGAAGGAGGCACTCTGTTGGCCCAGCTCCTATTAATGTGAGGGGCTGTATCAAGCCACATGTGAGGGGTGGGGAGGGGGAGGGAGGTGCTCAGCCTGGCTCAGCCAGGCCCCACCTGAGGTGAAGGAAGCATCTGACCCAGCCTTGCCTTGTCCTACCCCACACAAGGCAAATCAAAGAGGAAGCACCTGGCCCACCCAAGCCCTGCATGAAGTGAGGTGGTGCCTGGCCCAGCCCCCCATGAGGCAAGGTGAGGTGAGGGAGGTGGTACCCTGTCCCCCTACGTGAGGTGAGGGAGGTGGTACCCTGTCCCCCAAGTTCTACATGAGGCAAAACAAGGAAGGCAGCACCCAGCAAAACCCAAAGGCAAGATAAAAGAGGCAGTGCCCAGCCTTGGGGAGAGGGTGGCAGTGCCTGTCCTGCCCAAGCCTTGCCTGAGGTGAGGGAGGCTGTGCCTGGCCCGCACTATCCTCAGAGTGAGGGTGGTGGTGACCAGCCAACTTGGTGGCTCTTTGAGGTAAAGCAGGCTCAAACTCCTCTTCCTCTCTCTCTTTACCCCCCCCTTTGGGAGTGCGGGGCTGGGGGTGGGTGTAGGACCATTTTTCAGAATTGTATTTCACACAGCCACTGAGGGCATTTGTTTCTTTAAGCTACAAGTACTGAATCTATTATTTGGGGGGCTTTAAAAAGGAACAACAAAAAAAAAAACCCCAATGTTTGGGGAGCTAGATTTCAGGTTTTTTCTGCAAACCTGGACCATTTTTCAGATTTGTAGAAACATCGGTTTTGTCTATTTATGTTTGTCATCTCTGGATTTAAGTATTCACAAATTTAGCCATATTGAGAATTAGATATATTGATGATAGCAAGCTTTCCCTGGGAAATCCTAAAGTTGTGAGGTGACCAAATTTACCTTAGGACTTGATGCTTGATATACATCACCTCAGTCTTAGTTCATACAGATATTAATTCACACAGATAACAATATTATGGTTACATGTATAAATTACATGGAATTGCTTAGGGGTTCCTTTTTTCTCCCTTGTTATGTATCTCCCTTATATATAAAAGCCGAATGGTGGTGGCACTTCTCTAGAACATTCCACACGTTCCAGAATTGGTTGGCGCCCTGGTGTGTCACTCAGAATCTGTCCCTATCCACTGGCTGCATTGCTTGAGTCTCGCCTCCAACATTCTAAACAATTTGCTGTTCCCCTCCCCCCCATAGCCAGTCAGAACACATCCAGTGATGTCCATGTATACAATCATCTGTTTGGTTGCCTGAAACACTTGTTCACAATGAACTAATTGTTGTCTTCACAAACTTCTGAGTCTTGCTTCATATTTTGTTCTTCTAGCCCAAATCTCCTCACACTATTTGATTCTGCTTTGTTTCCTACTTTTGCATTCCAGTCACCTATGATTATCAGCACATCTTGTTTAAGCATCTGATCAATTTCTTCCTGGACACTTGCAGAAAAGTTTTCAATTTCTTCCTTATCAGCATCTGTAGTTGGGGCATAGTCTCATCATAGAGTTTTTGAGATAGGAGATGATTAGAAGTGGTTTAACATTGCCATCTTCTGTGCAGTACTAACCTGAGTTAGCTGTAGTTTCACTGCCATTGTCTACGAAAGATCCTCCTCCAATTTCACCTTACATTACTGCTGCTGCCCAGTAGCTACCCTTGGAAGATTCCACTGCCCCCATCACCACTGGAACCATCCATTCTCACAACCTGCCCACAACTCAAAATTCATGACTAAAATTGCCTGGGTTGGAGTTTGTGAGCCAAGGTCAGTGTGATCTCGCCTCAGTGACTCTCCCATGAGCCTCAACATGTTTTTTTTTAGGTTTGGGCATCTTGTGGTGGGGCATGTTGGCAGCGTCCGTGGCAGACACACTGGTGCCAACCAATCATCAAAGCAACAGGGGAGATGGACTTCTGCAACCCTGGAAGCACCAATAGTGTCCCTCCAAAGACAGGCAGTGCTGGTGTGACAGCCTGCACTTTTAAGAAGCCCAGAAGTGCTGTATAAACAGCTGAAGGACTGTGAAGGGTTAATTTTTCACAGAAGCCAGAGAGCCTTGAGTGAAAGGCTGTTTCAAGCAATCTGATTGTTTAGCATCAGCTGAGTAGAGAGAGACCTCTGAACTGTATGCTGAGGAGAGATTTAGTCAGATTGCTTTAAGGTGGTTTAGGGAGTAATTCTAAGCAGGTCTACTCAGAAATAAGTCCCATGTTACTCAGTAGGACTTACTCCCAGGAAAGTGTTTTTAGGACTGTGCTACAAGATGCTTGCACAGCATCAAATCCAGATGGCCTTAAGAGAGCTTTGTGCTTTGTGACTAGCTCTGGCTGGCTGGGATTGTGTGCGGTGGAGTGGACTCAGGGCTTTGAGCCACCTCTCTCTCTGCTCACACTGGGCAGAAGGGCTTAGCTGCTGGTTGCCTTGCCAACCCCCCCCTCCCCAATATTTATTTCTGAACACCTCTGTAAGTTTGATGCCTCTAGCTTACCGGGGGTCTGCTCGACACACTCCTGAATCTGCGACTGTGATTTTCCCAGAGAGCACTTTCCTGGGGAGCACCTGCTGTAACTCTTGCTCCCCCCCCCATCCAATCCTCACTAAATGTGGAGGGCAGGTAGAGGAGATTCAGCTGGAGACTTGCTGTGAGTTTGGCATCTCTAGTCCACAGGGGGAGAGGGTGTTCTACCACATAACAAACCTCACAAAATGAATCAGTTCTGTAAACAGGAAGGTCCGTAAAGGTTCGTGTAGCCTCACATTCCTCCTCAACAGGCTTTACGGCTAGTTTAATATAATGCCTAAGGTGGCCTTAATATTGCACATGCATACCTGCCATAGAAATCTGCAGCCCCATGTGTCCTCCTCCTCTTTTTCCAAGTACAATTCAGTGGAGTGGATCCTATCCCTATCCTATCCCTAGGTGGCTCTGCCACCAATGGAAAGCTCACTGAATTTGAAGGAAGGCTCCTTGGAAGAAGGTTGGGTCAATGCCAGTGAAACAAAAAGTGTTATATGATATCACTTCAATGTGAATTTCTGTGCACACCCAAGTAACAAGTCACGCAATGGTACAAGGTGGAAGGGAAACTCATAATGTGATGATGTCAAAAAGGGAAAAGAGATAGAGCTGCTGCTTTTGACAGCATCAGCACATGTGCTGTAATATCTGGTTCTGACCTCAAATAGTATTCATCTGAACCTCACTGGACAAGGCAGCATCATTTTACTACAACATTCACAGCTGGATTTCTCTATGTGGACAATCCGAGATGTGACTCAATATCCAAAGAAAAGCCCTAGTTACTTGGGGAAAATGTGATTTCAGCTATATCCTAGCACTCCCATATATCTTGATTGTTTCATCGAAATTTATTTCATAAAGGGCAATAGATAACCATGTTCCTTTAAAAAGAAAAAGACTCATTTTTCTCACATAATTTTTAAAGAGTTGAAAGTAGTGCAATCATTTTAAGCATCTGACCAAAGCAATAACACAACCCACTTGCTTCTTCCTCAAAATCAAGAGCCAGAAGCCCTCTAATAATTACACACTGAGAAATGAACATTAAGAAAAAGCAGCAATATAAAAAAGACCTTAGAAACCTATTAATGTAAGTAAATATAAAATAACTGTTCATGCTTAGCATAAGGTCACAAGAAGAATGGACAGGATTGACAGATTCTGTATTACTGGATTTAAAGCAAGGATAAATCAGATTCTCCCCACAGACAATTTTCTCACCATACTTTTCACAACTTTTTGTCTTCATCTACAGTGATACAGAGAACTGGTTCTGTGAATGTGTTGCACCCTACTCTGGGAAATTATGTCATTTTTCAAACTGTGAGACAAATCCATGTGGGAATGGAGCTACATGTTTTCCAAAATCCAACCAAGACGCAGTGTGCCTTTGTCCCTATGGAAGAACTGGGATTCTCTGTCATGATGGTAAGATGGAGGAGAATTTAATAAGTACTTTACCACAACAGACTGGTTCAGATGTATTAAGCTGATAGAGTAAATTGTTCATGTTGAAGGATGACAAAGCCTTTCTTCTGTCATGCAAATTAACTTTGGCCCCTGCCACACGGCAGGGGATAAGTCGCTCAAAGCGCGGCTTTTAAAAGCTGCACCAAAGTTGAGACGCCGCGGTGGGATCCCACGATCCCCTGGGCCGTGGCGCCTTTTCTCCCCGGCAAGATCAGATGCCGGGGAGAAAACACAGTTCAGACGGGGAGCCTGCCGAACTGTGCATGTCGTAGCATGCGCAGTTCGGCTAGGAGCCGGGGATGAGCTGGCGCAAAGATGCGCCGGCGATCCGACGGCCCGGCTTGCGGCGCTTCAATCAGAAGAACCAGGTTAGGTGGTTCTTTATGGTGCGGGTTTTCGGCCGGGAGAGATGGATCAGAGACGAGCAGGCAATGATTCCCAGATGTTGCCGTGGGATCGTGCCCGTTTGATCCGCCCCCGTTCTGTCTCGCTCCCGGACCAAAACCCCTCGTATGAACAGGACCTTTATTGCCTTTTCCTCTCAGTGAGTTGCTCATTCTTGAGTGTTTCCTTATAACTTAGCAAAAAGAAAAAGTTGGACCACAATAATGCACAGTTTGTGAAAGGGGATCCATGGTTGATGAACTCTTTAATCCAGTTCACAACTGGTCAAATTAAATAGGATTCATGTGTTGAACCAGAGTTCTCCCTGCTTGATCCCCATTAGTGTCAGGACCAATTCATATGATACAAAATCCTTACAGCCACCATGAAACTTTAATATTCATCTCCAGTAATACCTTAAAACCAACAACATCTCTGGTAAACTGAAGGATGATGGACTGGACTCTAAGATAGTTAGGTGGATAGGGAACTGGCTGGAGAACTGCATCCAAACAGTAGTCGTTGATGAAATTTAATCTGACTGGAGATGCCACAGGGCTTGGTTCTGGGCCTGGTACTTTTTAATATTTATTATAATACTCATTAAATTTGCAGATGACACCAAACTGGGAGGAGTAGCGAACACACCGAAAGACAGAGATAAAATTTAACAAGATCTGAACACACTGGAAAAGTGGGCAGATGTGAATAAGATGCAATTCAACAAGGATAGGTGCAGAGTTCTACAACTGGGTAACAAAAATGGGAATCACACATAGTGGATGGGGGACACACTTCTGGGTAGCAGTGTGTGCGAACAAGATCTTAGGGTATTGGTGGACTGTAAGCTAATTATGAGCAGTCAGTGTGATACAGTGGCAAAAAAGGCTAATGCAGTTTTGGGATGTATCAACAGAGGAATAACATCCAAATCACAAGATGCCATAACCATAGGCCTGTTGTACACCACATTGGTCAGGCCAAAACTTAAGTACTGTGTGCAGTTTTGGAAGCCTTACTTCAAAAAGGGTGTGAACAGAATGGACTGGGTGCAGAGGAGAATGACAAAGATGCTCAGGGGCCTGGAGACCAAGCCATACAAGGAAAGGCCAAAGGACTTAAGAGTGTTCAGTCTGGAGAACAGGAGGCTGAAGGGGGACAGGGTTGCTCAGCTGTAAGCAGGGGTCATTTCGTAGAAAAAGAGCTAGGGGGACTCATTAGCATAACTCATTAGCATATGCCACACCCCCTGACATAACCGGAAGTGTGTCCTCCCCACAGCCGACGGCGACCTCCAGCGGGCACCAGCAGGGAGCTCCAGGTCCCGCCCTCCCGCACCTCACCCGGGGGGATGGCGTCCCCCCGCGTCCCCCCCCCAAATGACCCCTGGCTGTAAGTATTGAAATGCTGTCACTTAGAACTGTACCTGTTGGTAGCAGAGGATAATTGGTTTATATTATGGGTAGAAAGGTACTGCCTGGATATTAGGGGGGAAATTTACAGTAAGAGTAGTTCAGCGGTGGAAGTTGCTGCTTAGGGTAGTGGTGAGTTCCCCCCACTGGCAGTCTTTGAGCAGCGTTTGGACGAACACTTGTCAGGAATGTTTTAGGTTGATCCTGCATTGAGCAGGTGGTTGGACTAGATGGCCTGTATGGCCCCTTACAACTCTATGTTTCTAAGTTTTTGAGAGTCAAAGATCTCTTCATCAGATACCAGGGAGCTTTGGCTGTTGAAAGCTTATACCTGGGAACTCTTGCTGGACTTTAAGGTGCTACTGAACTTGAATCTTGCTCTTCTACTGCAGACCAACATGGCTACTCACCTGAAATTATCTTCATGATAACTTTTTATGGCATGCGTGCTGGGAGTTCTGTGCCTCCTTGGTGCAAAGCTCCTTCTCCATGTATTCTATGGTCATGATAAGACCACTTCTGGGAGACATGGAACTCCTGTTGCATGTGTGACAAAGAATTTGTATTGTGTGACTTGGCCCTCACTCTGTACCTGTCACACATATACTGAGATAGCAAAGAGAGCTCTGTCCTTGCAGTAGGCCTTGGGCTTCAGCCACCAGTTAATAACCAAGCTTGCACCACCACATCCAGGATTGCTAAAAAGCAGGAGACTCTGCACCCACAGAGAAGAGGACCAATGCAGACTTAGCCTACATCAGTATGACATTGTTGCTCTTTATCTCCTGAAACTAGGCACATGGTAGAATTGTTACCCATTGTTGCAGCTTGTTGGAATCAGCCACATTGCATGGTCTACCTGATCTGACGTTCTTTCCCTGGTATGAAATGGAAGTCCTCATTAAATTAGGAAAGGGGTAAACCATTCAACATCACAGTAATCCAAGTCTATGCCCCAACCACTGATGCAGAAGATGCTGAAGTGGACCAGTTCTATGAAGACCTACAATACCTCCTAGAACTAAAACCAAAAAATGATGTCCTCATCATCATAGGGGACTGGAATGCTAAAGTAGGAAGTCAAAAGGTAACTGGAATAACAGACAAGTTTGGCCTTGGAAAGCAAAATGAAGCAGGGCAAAGGTTAACAG